TTACACAAACTAGAACAATAACACCCTGAATGAATAGAAATAAAATAATATGTCCCAAATTAAAGAAAAAATTAATTCTAGATATTCTCCCGTTGCATATTTGCGCTTTTTCAGCGCTCGCTGTATAATAAACCTGCGCAGTACGAATCGTGGTTTATTTTGCTACAATTGCTAATATATGATTTCCGTATGTATATATTATATGTCAAGTGCTAAAAATTTAAATTCTATATAATAATATGAAGTTTATGATTTATTTTAGCAAATAATTACGTACCTAGAAATCCTATTTTGCTGTTATTAATACGTGCAAGTATCACTACATTCAAAGTTCTACAACCAATTAAAACTTTTATTGCATTATTTTATCGTCGTGGTATATATTACAGTAAAATATGATATTGCTGTAGTTATAAGCTAAAAAAATATTTTAATTTTTTAAAACAATCGTTAAGATTTGATTTTTTGGAATAGTTTTATTAATTTTTCGAATATGGGTTATTTATATTACCGTAGAAAATCCTTCTAAAGATGATACATAAATGTAACCAGTTGTTAGAGTATGACTTTTCAGAGAATTTTGCATCACAAATAAAAGCAATTTTTGTATTGATAATGGAGCTAAATACCACATTGTATTATACCTATAAATTTATAAAAATATTACATTTAGCATTATTTATAACATTTACTTTTGCTTAGGCATGCGTGTTTAAATTAACATAGCTTCTTTTTTACTTATTTTAGAAGTATAACAAAATTTACAAGTATTGTATATGCAAAATATGCACTTGATCCGCGACATTATAATGTGTCCTGATATCTGTGTATGAATATTCATGAATGTGTGCGTATGCGCTATGTATCTAAAGATGTTATTAGAATTAAAAATCACAATCATAATCATATATGACGACATATATAATTCTACAATTTTATTTATTGCTGAAATATTTTGTTAATTTCTACTTGTCAACAATAATATCAACAATAATATTCAACATAGAATCCAGCAGTGTTTAAGTGCTGAGATATTTAATTACAAAGGCGTAGAATTCATGTTCTGTTAAAATGCTACATACAAATGCGCGTGTGCTCTGCACGGAACATCATTCTTATCTAATATACATATATATATATATATGAGCGACGCACAAGTCCAGGAGACCGCGACGTAAGAACGGATCATGTAAAAGAAATGATGTTATATATACAGAGTATTTGGAAATTAGTGATAAATTTTTCACAGAAATGGGGCAGAATGAACTAAACTGAAAAGAAAAGTCCTCTACTATTTTACAATTGTCGCAATGGTTAACGAGTTATTAACTCATAAAAATAGCTAAATCCACCCAGCCTACCGCCAAATGTAAGGGATAGTACCCGCCCCGCGCGGCGAGTTGTGCATTCGCCGTCACGAGGCACGTTGTTTATAAGTGGCAATTGCTGTCGCTAAACATTACGTGCCACATCTCAGCACTCATAAAAGTATATTATGAATGCTGAGATGTGGCACGTAATGTGCCCGACCAATGAAATTTTTGAGAGTTGTAAAAATTACAACAAATATTACAAATTGAAAGCAAACTGACTAAAAACATTATTTCATATAAATCGTGCTTTAAATACGAACATTATCAAATACTTCTTTGATCGAAAACATGTTTAATTTTTTCATTTTGTGAAATAATTAGTTGTAAATATCATTCTAGATTAACAGTCTCTTTAAACTTTATCAATCTAATATATATAATAAATTATTTAACGCATTCAACGTCAACAAATAAAAGCGAATTCCTTGGAGTTAGGCTAATTCTATACATTTTTCTAACTCAATATAATGGACATTATTATAATTATCAAGTAGAGACTTAGTCTTTTCCTATAATTTAACTTCTAAATGTATCATTATTTTTGATGGACAATAGTTAAACAATTATTGAAAAATGTCATACATATCAATGATATGTGAACACTGAGTTATTCGTCAAATAAATGGATTAGTCAACATTAAAAAAATGGATTATTAAAATTTATAATTATATTTGGAAGACAAAGTAGGTTAGAAATTATCATAATAAAAATATCATATAAATAATGACTTCGTATAAATAAATTGATTTATTGAAAATTTTAATGTATACATGATACTTACGCGGCATTAAATACTTCTGCGCTATGATCGGAAACTGCTTGTCCAACAAAATTAGATGCAAACAAGACCATAAAATGAGCTATTACCATACCGATACACATTATTATTTCGGAAAATTCCTTTGACACAGTTAATACATTAAGTAGCTATAAAAATATATTGTATTACTATTCAAGTATATATTTTAATTTATATATAATATACGAATTCATAACTATAACAATTGAATTCAAAAATTAATTGTAAGAAACGTAAAAAATGTAATACGTACAAAAGTGCATTACTTACTCGAAAAAGATTGCAACTTAAAGACATTACGCTGATTATCACTAAAGGGAAATACCATTTGTTCATAATATTCATAAAAAATGTAGAAAACCTTCAATAGCGAAAAAGAATCTAATTCATATCTTTAGTTAGAGTTAATTGTATTTAAAAATGTGATTTTAAAAATTAAAATTAATGTGAGTCATGTATAATAGATAATAAAAGAATAAATTAAAGACTAACTGAATAGATTTTCTATGAATATGAACAGCACGATTAATTCTCTGACACATCACATGTGTTGTTTTCTGACAAGCAGGAATTTGAAGTGTATGTTGAGTCACTGTTTTTTCGATTAAGTTACTGCAAACAATTTTTATATAATGAACAAACAATTAAAGATATATAATTTTCTTCATTAAAATTCAAACGCAAATACCTAGCGATTTTAAAAGTAGCGCAACAATGTCTGATGATCGCGAACGATAATGTTCCCGTTGCAAGAATGGTAAATATTCCAATTATTATTGTTATGATTTCATATATTAAATAAATATAAAAATACTGTTCCTCGTCGATAAAAAATTCAAAATCTATTTTTACTTTACGTGGTCGAGATTTATTCATCGGTGTGACAGCGTCAAGAATGACTGGTATCAATTCAATAATTATAATAAAAAATATAGCAAATACGACGACAACTGAACATTCAAAATAACAAGATGATATACAACTTTGTTAATTATCATAAGTAAATAGTAAAAATTTCAAACAGACAGGTATATATTACAAATATTATTTATTTTTTTTTTATCTATTTCATAATTTACTTACAACCTAAAATTAGTGACAGTAGACGATTTTCATTAGCATATTTCTCTAATATTCTAATTTCACTATTATCTTCGATTGAATTCCAGTCCAATTTTATTTGTTTTAATAAATATTTCACCTATCATTTAAATAATTAATGCTTCTGAAATTTCTTTTACTTATATGAATAAAAAGTTTCGAGGTAAAAAGACTCTTCCATAAAAATAAAAGTATAAATAGTACTTACTCCTTTAGAATTAAAATAATAAGAGTTATAAGTTATAATATATATTATGGTAATGAAAATATATGATAGTTCTTTAAAAATAAATTCCAAGTTGCACGTTGTTGTCAAAAAAGTCGTAAACTACAACACATAAGTATAATAACAATATATCGAATTTATGTAGAGGAGAAGGTGTATGCATTAGCATATTAGAATCATAATGTAAGAACGAGCAAATAAGTAATCATTGGAATTCCACTTAATAGCGGAGATACCTATTAAGCGGAGCCAATATATCTACAATGGTCATAATATCACCTTCTCCTCAAAGAATCATCCAAAAAAATGTTAAGTATAAAAAGAAAAGGGTTGCAAAATACCTGGAATAAAAGAATAAAATAATATGCGCCAAGGAAGAACGCAGATTGTACTTGCATAAATGGTGTTTGATAAGGCCACAAACCAAGCGCTGTTAACATAATCCGATAAATGTTGTAATAACGTTCACCAGAAAAGACCATCTTACTTAGTATACGGAATATATGCGAATGAAAATCGTGGAATTACTGAATAACAGTAGTAAATATTTTTTTATTTTTCAAAGCTATCTCTTGTAAGAGAAAAATATGTGGTAAGCTATGTAATTTAATAATTTTCTATAATTATGCAGTGAGAACAAAAAGTGCTATAATTTCATCAATCATTTGAAATAATAGTATGCTACATAAAAACGATTATTTTTGCGACAATTGTCAATGTTATAAGAAAATATATCTCACATTACGTTCTTATAGTTTATACTGGCGTAAGTCAGAGTAACTTGACGTGATAGCGTAGTTTATAGTATAACAAACTTCAGTGGACAAACAAATTCTATCTCGAAGCAATTAAAAATATCCTATAAGATAAAGCATTAGAAACTTTTCGAAAGCAATCTTCTATTTGAATGATGTGTTATATGCATATATTTTATTTGTCTTTTGCAAGAGTCGGTGTATTGACTGCTATCGTTTGGAAAATCTCACGACACACGCTGTTCACGAATGTAAGTCGGGTACTTGCTAAAATAAAATAGCATCATTTCAACTAACATGCTGTCTGTTCAACAAAACACGCAGCGATTCTCCGTGCGCGTCCCGCGATCATGTTCCAAATTTAATTCCCAAATTCTTTTGATTACTTTACCTTGGTATAAAAGGAAGTTCTGATATATGAAATACTTTAGATTTTCATTAAAGTGTTACTTTCAATTATGATAATATTGATTTCAGAAAGAACAATTTTAGTATAAGAAATAATTATGTATGTGCTTATATTAACATTATCTTGTAATTATTATGTGTATAATTATTATGTATTAAATTCTTATAAATCTCTTACAATTCAATTTCAGATGTTTTAATTTCTACTTCATATTAGTAGTAGTACTTCATATTAGAGTACTTCATATCTTTCTCTTTCTCTCAATATTTTTAAATATAAGACTACTTAAAGATGTAGAATAAATTTTTTTTGTACAATAAAAATCATATGTGCAGGTAAAACGTTTATTGTCTACATTGAAAATTAGCGTTTTGTAAGGTAATTCTTTTCGTGAATTTTTACAGACTCACTAACAAAAGATCTTTAACAAGACGATGCTTGATGTGCTGTAAACAATTACGATGTTAAGTACGAACATACACAAGCTATAATATTATTTGTAATCACGTACCTTGCAATTTTCTCAATGCATATTATTGAATTTCTCTTGTAGCATTGCATATGTATTAGCATGACGAAGTATTAGCGATATTACATCGCTATTGTATAGAATAAAGTATCGTTAAATAAGACAATGATGTGGTAATTAGCTATAAAAATATAATCCTTTTTTCTATTTCTAATTTCAGAAACGGAATTAATTCTAGTTGTTATAGTAATTGAACTACAGTAGATTTGAAAATTATGCAAAATTAAATTTTATTTTTAAATAATTTACATCTTAATTGTTCATTTAATATAATAGATCTTGTATTTTAATTTGTTATTACATGTTTTTAATTTGCTATACTTATACATATATTACCGTAGCAAAACCTTCCAGCGATGCCACAAATAAATTACAGAGAACTGGTTTAAAACTTTTCATTGTACGATGCATTAAAAATAAAAATATTTTTTGCGATGATAATGGAGCAATGTACCACAATGCATTACATCTAAAGAATTCAAAATAGATTAAATTCGATTGTTGACATACATATAATTAAATATAAAATATATTTATGATTAATTTTGTGTTTTTATATGAAATTCGATAAAATGAAAGAAGGAAAAGGGAAGGAGAGAAAGAGGGAGAGAAGGAGAGAGAGAGGGAGAGAAGGAGAGAGAGAGGGAGGAAAAGAAGGAGAAGGGAAGGAGTAAACAGGGGGAGGAAGGCAGGGGGAAAGAAGAGGGGGAGAGACGGAAGGAGAACGGGGAGGGAGGAGAGAGAGAGAGAGAGAGAGAGAGAGAAAGAGAATTGTTATATAACACAACGATGATATTTCAATTTATATCAATATTTCTCTGTGCCTTACAAAACTTTTATTTTTATTTTTATATTTTTTTTAAGTTCAATTTTTTTTTAACTAAATTATATCACTAGTTAAAATAAAAAAACTTTACACTTAATGTTTTAATAAATACTCACGTTGCATTAAAAATGTCGTCACTATGATCAGTTACTATTTGTCCGCCAAAATTGGCCCCAAACATATAAAAAAAATGAGCCCCCACGATTGATATACTTGATAACAATTCTGCTATATTCTGTCTCGTAGATGGTTGAAGCAACTGCAGTGTTATTACACAATAAGATGTTTGAATGTAATTGTTTAACACATTGAATACGAATATATGTAAAATTAATTTGTATAATTATTAGGTGTTGGAATTAATTCGTAGCGTTTTACAAGTGATGGGAAGTACTTTCATTAATGTATTTTTTAATGCTCATGTGAAATAAATAACATTCTTTCATTAAAAAACGCTACGAATTAATTCCAACACCTAATAATTTAAGCAAAGTTATTAAATATTGTACTTACATAATATAAATTAATGCTCATGGAAACAACGCCAGTTGTAATTAAAATAGCAAATGGTATCGTAAAATATGATACAATTCGATCAAAGAATCTTTAAAGAAAAAATAAAAGGTCTTATTAATATATTAATGGAGATCATTTTGAGTTATCTCATTATAACATTTTCGATAAATATTACTTTAACTAAAATAAATATTATCTTAACTAAAATAAATATATAATAACATAAATTAACATATATTTAAAAGTGCTATAAAAATATTATAACAAAAATTGTTTTATTATAAAATTTGTAATAATTACTCTCTTCTTTAAATAAAAAATTAATTTTTGTATATTAAATATATCTTTATTTTTTCATGCAATTCGTTCAATTATTGATAAAAATAACGTATCGTAATTCGTGTTTAATCTCCTGATTTTATAATTAATACTTAATCAACTTAGTAAACAAATTCACAATATAATAATAATTTTCTGTGATATTTCATACATATAAAAATATACAAGTAAACATCATCTACATCTACAATTTTAATTATCATTTCTCTTACAATGCTTATTATTATAAATTCAATCTGATACGCACTTTAGAGTCTTCCTATGTAAATTTATAGCACGTACTATTCTATTGCAGATTATACGTTCTATTTGAGAGCTGGAATTTCGCAGCATGTTCTTGTCTAACACACGTTCTATTCGAAAGCTAAGAATTTTTTTTAGATCAAACAACAATTTCATTATATAATACATTAATCGTAATTGGATTTTCTCACCTAACAATTTTTAGCATCCCACAAACATGTTGCGCATAAGCCAAAGTTGTTGCACCAGTAGCAATCATTGTAAAGCCTCCTGTGGTAAGTGCGAAAATTTCGTGTATTATCATAAGAAGAAAATATTTTTTAGGATCGATAAAATATTCCATCGGCACGTGCGTATTACATGGTCGAGATTCATTCAATGGTACAACAATATTGAGTAAAATAGGCAAGAACTCCGTAAAGGAAAAGACGATCAGACTGGTACATAATAATACTATGAAATATTAAAATAAAATAATCTTTTAGATGAGTTTTCCAATTAAATAGATTTCGGAAGAGTTAAATAAATTCCTAAATATTTTTCCTTTCTTACGCGTAGTAATAATCGTAAAAACATTCATTATATAAGCATATTTTTCCAATATTTCGATTTCCTTCTTGTCATCTAAAGCGTTCCAGTCATTTTGTACTTCATCCATCAGCAATTTAACCTATAATCGTGATACTTAGAGCTTCAAAATGATGTATATATAATCGTTATATATATATATATATATATATATATATATATTAATTTATATAAGAGTGTTTCAGAATAATCGTTAAATATTTCGTGCGCTGATAGAGCGAACTAAACTGAATCGAAAAGTCCTCTACAATTTTGCAATTTTAGCAGTAATTAACAAGATATTAATTAGTAATAAATTAGGGATGCACCAGATCATAAAATTATCGGATACCGGATATCATATATCCGGATAGAATGTGAATATCCGGTATCCGATCAGATATCCAAGAAGGCAATTTCTTCAACTCGGATATTCGACATTTTCAGGATATCAATAGTGTATAAGCATATTATAGCATCATATATATACTTATTTCCAGAACATTTATATAAGAAAAATCAACAATTTAATGATATTAAATTTCAATTGGATATATTTCCGGATACTAATAATATTCGGATATCCGGTCGGATAGTAAAAAATGCCGGTACTTTCCGATGCATCCCTATTAAAAATCGCCGAATATTGGTTTTCAATAATTTTTGCTCAAGTACTATCAATTCTACAGAAAAACAACAAGATACAAAAATTGTTTATATTCTCATAAAACTTTAAGAATTTTTTCAGAATTTTTTATCAATTTTTTTTTAGTAATGTATTTTCTTATAGGCAATTATTTTTATCAACATGAGAAAATGTGGTAAAAAATTCTAAAAAAATTCTCAGAACTCTATGAGTAGAAAATAAACATTCTTGTCTCTTGTTGTTTTTCTGTAAAGTTAATAATACTTGAAAAATTATTGAAAATATTCGGCGATTTTTATTAATTACTAACTTAACTATTGCGAAAATTGCAAAATAGAGGACTTTTCGATTCAGTTTAGCCTGCTCTACCAGCACATGAAATATTTGGCAGTCATTCTAAGACACCTTGTATACATGAAGTACAAGTTATTAATATTGACAATTTATTGTATAAATATATATTTATGTATAATATAATTATATATGTATATTCTCCTAAATCGTAATAATATTATGTGTGTAATTATGAGTATATATATATATATGTATGTATGTATGTATGTATGTATGTATACATATAGGGTATATGATAATTTTTTTGACAGAGTTTATGAACATGTAGATGATAGAGCAGGCCAACTGATTGTTAGTCGAAAAGTTATTTACCGTTTTGCTATTTTCGCAATAATTAATAAGATATTAATTACTAAAAATTGCTGAATATTGGTTTTCAATAATTTTTTACTCAAATACTATCAACTTCACAGAAAATCTGCAAGAGACAAAAATTTTTTGTTTTCTTGTTAAGTTCTATAAAAAGAAAATAAATGATTTTTGTCGCTTGCAGTTTTTTGTAAGTTGTTGATAGTAACTCGAGTAAAACAATATTGAAAACTAATATTTGGTGATTTTTAGTAATTAATATCTTGTTAATTATTGCAAAAATTGTATTGCGAGAGTTTTCTTGTTACTTATCAAACACCCTGTATGCATTCATGCGTGCGTGCGTGCGTGCGTGCGTGCGTGTGTGTGTGTGTAAATATGTAAATAGGAGATGTAACTTTATCACTGTCAGTCTCAAGTTCGAATAAAAAGAAATCTTGTCATTTGTTATTGTTTTTTAAATAGGAGAATTTTGATTGTCAATTATCAATATATTATCAATACAGTCGATATAAATCAAATTTAAAAATACAAAATGATTCGTAAAGATAATTAATTGGAAAACAATAATTAATGTATTATCATATTTTCAAGTTTTCACATTTTTCATAAAATCATTAATTTTTTTGTAACAATGAAAAATATGTCCAATTAATTGTGTTTGGTGCAATATTACTCGCATTTGACCCAATTTAAAATTAATTTCTAAATTGAGGCATGATTGACAGTGATTTTATTCACATTATATCAATGTACTAATTTTTCCTTCAGTCTGGCATTATTATATCATTTTTAGTTTTTACGAAAAAAAATACATAAGAAAACATAGAAATAGCGATCTCCAAGTGGTCACGAAATTTTACTACGTAAAATTGGTACACTCCTTTGAAATTGAGAAAATTAAACCATTGTGAATAATTAAATCACTGTGTGTACTATGCAACTCACTTTTTTAGAATTAATATGGTAAGCGTGATACTTCATAGTAAAGATGACAGCAGGCAAAAAATGAGAAAGAAATCTAAGCATCACATTAAAATTATACTGTGATGTAAGTAATGTACAAAACTGCAATAATAACAAAATTCCAAATTATTAAATAAATAAAGTTAATTTTATTTTACATGAAATATATTTAAATAAAAAGGATTAAGTCACCTCTACAAATAAAAAGGAGTGTAATAGAATATAGACAAATATAGGTTTAATGTGTATGCACTTTGTTGTCTGAGATGGCCATAAGCCAAGACTACATAAAAGAAATATGTAGATTTTATAGTATCGTCTTCCAATAAAATCCATCTTACACTCTGACATGACTCTGACTATATTCATATGAGGGACTAGCTGTCTTTTCAGATATATTAGAAACAAGTATTTTATAGAATGCTTTTATCTTTAGAGTTTCTTTTTTCATAAAAATGGCAATAATAAAATAATTGATAATGACCATAACTGAACAATTTTCTAAGTTTATATCGCATGAAAAGAACAGGTGCGAAGTAAATTACTAATGTAAGTTAACTTAATGTAAGTTGCAGTAAACTGTTCTTTTTAATATTTAAATTTGCACATATTAAGTTTACTTTTCTTTCATTTAAAATAACGCAAATGTATCTCTTAGCAAATATCCCTCAGTTTATTTCAATTCTTTATATGGGAAGCTTCCTGACTTCTCTATTTTCTTCAATAACATACAAAATATATTAGTAATGTTTTAATATTAGCAATGTTTTAATATTATTTTTGTAATATTAAACTAATGTTATTCGTTTATAAGAAATATTTATTTTACTAGAAATATTTAGTAAATCATTATTATAAGATAGAATAGACTTTTTAAATAATTTTTTATAATATAGGAAGGAAAAATTTTTTCGCACGTGTAATAGTTCTTTTGACATTTATATATAGTCTTTTTAATTTGCAATTATGGACAAAGTTTTATGTTACAACTTTATTTTATACGTTATGTCATATTTTATTATGTTTTTATTGTTCATTCTAAATTAATTACATATTTAAGTTTATTTAAAAAACATATTGACATAGTTTCTATTAAACGAGTCTTTAATTATAATTTTTCCTATTTCAAAACAGAACTGCTAGTTGATCGTTTTCGTGTTAAATTAATGCAAATCAGCTCCAACTTTACTAGTACACACTACGAACGCACAGACTAAATTACATGACGTAAGACAGCAACAAACTGGTAAGCTGCAACATAAAGTGTGTACTTCGCATTATTGTTCAAAGTTATATCGGATTACCGGTATATTTATACTACTTCAGATAACGAGATAATTATACTACTAAAAGATACTATTTTTCATGCTTTTCAGCATCACGAATATCTGTATATACAATACGATGTAATAAACATATTTAACAAATCGATATTATTACTCATCAAATTTGTACTCAATTAATGAAGAATGTTATATAAAATAGTAATCTAGCTATACTGCTATTATTTTTTCTCTTCTTATCATATAGAATTATGAATATAGTTACAGACATAAAATAAATTAATAATAATAATTTAAAATCACTAGACGCTT